GCGTGGCTTATCACGCTTAGATATTCCAAATGGGCGTGGCCTCCGCGCTCTGAGCTCCAAAGGGGCGTGGCTTATCACGCTTAGCCTTTCCAGATAGGCGTGGCTTATCCCACTTAGATATTCCAAATAGGTGTGGCCTCCGCGCTCTGAGCTCCAAAGGGGCGTGGCTTATCACGCTTAGCCTTTCCAGATAGGCGTGGCTTATCCCACTTAGATATTCCAAATAGGTGTGGCCTCCGCGCTCTGAGCTCCAAAGGGGCGTGGCTTATCACGCTTAGATATTCCAAATAGGCGTGGCCTCCGCGCTCTGAGCTCCAAAGGGGCGTGGCTTATCACGCTTAGCCTTTCCAGATAGGCGTGGCTTATCCCACTTAGATATTCCAAATAGGTGTGGCCTCCGCGCTCTGAGCTCCAAAGGGGCGTGGCTTATCACGCTTAGCCTTTCCAGATAGGCGTGGCTTATCCCACTTAGATATTCCAAATAGGTGTGGCCTCCGCGCTCTGAGCTCCAAAGGGGCGTGGCTTATCACGCTTAGATATTCCAAATGGGCGTGGCCTCCGCGCTCTGAGCTCCAAAGGGGCGTGGCTTATCACGCTTAGCCTTTCCAGATAGGCGTGGCTTATCCCACTTAGATATTCCAAATAGGTGTGGCCTCCGCGCTCTGAGCTCCAAAGGGGCGTGGCTTATCACGCTTAGATATTCCAAATAGGCGTGGCCTCCGCGCTCTGAGCTCCAAAGGGGCGTGGCTTATCACGCTTAGCCTTTCCAGATAGGCGTGGCTTATCCCACTTAGATATTCCAAATAGGTGTGGCCTCCGCGCTCTGAGCTCCAAAGGGGCGTGGCTTATCACGCTTAGATATTCCAAATGGGCGTGGCCTCCGCGCTCTGAGCTCCAAAGGGGCGTGGCTTATCACGCTTAGCCTTTCCAGATAGGCGTGGCTTATCCCACTTAGATATTCCAAATAGGTGTGGCCTCCGCGCTCTGAGCTCCAAAGGGGCGTGGCTTATCCCACTTAGATATTCCAAATGGGCGTGGCCTCCTCGCTCTGAGCCTCAAAGGGGCGTGGCTTATCCCGTTTGGATATTCCAAATAGGCGTGGCCTTCGCGCTATGAGCCCCTTAAAGGGGTGTGGCTTATCCCGTTTAGGTAATCAAACTGGGCGTGGCCTCCTGCTGTGAGTTCTCCAGAGGGGGGTGGCTTACCCCTCTTATCTATTCCAAAGGGGCGTGGCTTATCCCTCTGAGATATTCCAAATGGATGTAGACTCCCCGCTCTGAGCTCAAGGGGGAGTGGCCTCTTCGTCTGAAGCTCGAAGGGGCGTGGCTTCCCGCCTTGAGACTCGTCCAAACGGTCGTGGCTGAGCTAGAGGTCCCTCAAAGGGGCGTGGCCTCCCATCTGGAACCAAGAGAGGGCGTGGCTTTCTGCCTAGAGGCGACAAAGGGGCGTGGCTTCCCGCTCTGAGCCCGAACGGGGCGTGTCCTTTTCTGCTGGAGATTCCAAGTGGGCGTGGCTTCCCTCCCGGGCTGGCAGAAGCTTTCCCTGCTTTCCTTTCCGCGCGGACAGACAGACGCCTGTGCGGCTCCTCGTGGGCCTTTGTGGCGCGATCGACCCGGGTTAAGAGGGTGAGCTGGCCTCAGTGGGCGTGATGGAGGACGCGGAGAGCGGCCTTCGGAAGAAGAACAGGGAGCCCGCCAAGATCGGAGGTGAGAAGGAAAGAGACAGAGAGGGGAGGGCAGAATGTGGGTCTCTTTCTGGAACACAGAAAGGAGGTTTTGCAAGAGAGGCAAGTGCAAACCCGCGCCAAGTGGGAAGGCCTTGGCCAATGGGTTCCTTTTGCCTGGCTGCCACAGACACAGCCCTGGCTCTTCCAAGTGATATCAAACCGCATTAATTCAACAGTGCAGACGCAACCCCAGAAACACCCCCATGAAAGCCTACATTCCACTGCAAAGGGGAGCCTCCTAAGCTATATTATTATTATTATTACTTGCACCCAGAAGCTTGTTATTATTAAATTATTATTATATTTTATATTATTATTATTATTATTATTATTATTATTATATAATTATGATAATGATGTATTGTCGAAGGCTTTCATGGCTGGAATCACTAGGTTCTTGTGGGTTTTCCGGGCTATATGGCCATGTTCCAGAAGCATTTTCTCCTGACGTTTCGCCTGCATCTATGGCAAGCATCCTCAGAGGTAGTGAGGTCTGTTGGAAGTAGGAAAAATGGGTTTATATATCTGTGGAATGACCAAATTGGGACAAAGAGCTCTTCCCTGCTGGAGCTAGGTGTGAATGTTTCAACTGACCACCTTGATTAGCATTTGAAGGCCTAGCTGAGCCTGGGGGAATCTTTTGTTGAGAGGTGTTAAGATGTGCCTGGTTGTTTCACATCAGTATTACTGACTTCATTCAGAGGAGAAACACAGCTCAGTGTCAGGATAGGATCCTAGAGTTGGAACTCCAAAGATCATCCAGCCCAACCGCTTTTGCCACAAAGGAAGACAGAATGGATAAATGAATGAATGAGTCATAATGTCATTGAGTTGGAAGAGATCCCAAGGGCCATCCAGTCCAACCCCTTTCAGCCAGGAAGGAAGAAATAATAATAATAACAACAACAACAACAAACCCCAAGGACCATCCAGTCCAACCCCTTTCAGCCAGGAAGGAAGATATAATAATAATAATAATAATAATAATAATAATAATAATAATTACAAACCCCAAGGGCCATCCACTCCAACCCCTTTCAGCCAAGAAGGAAAAATATAATAGTAATAATAATAATAGTAATAATAATAATGATAATTGCAAACCCCAAGGGCCATCCAGTCCTACTCCTTTCAGCCAAGAAGGAAGATATAATAGTAATAATAATAACAACAACAACAACAACAACAAACCCCAAGGGCCATCCAGTCCAACCCCTTTCAGCCAAGAAGGAAGAAATAATAATAATAATAATAATAATAATAATTATTATTATAATAATAATAATTATTATTGCAAACCCCAAGGGCCGTCAAGCCCAACCCCTTTCAGCCAAGAAGGAAAATATAATAATAATAATAATAATAATAATAATAATAATAATAACAATAATAATAACAACAACAAACCCCAAGGACCATCCAGTCCAACCCCTTTCAGCTAGGAAGGAAGATATAATTCATTATTATTATTATTGTTATTATTGTATTGTCGAAGGCTTTCATGGCTGGAATCACTAGGTTCTTGTGGGTTTTTTCGGGCTGTATGGCCATGTTCCAGAAGCATTCTCTCCTGACGTTTCGCCTGCATCTATGGCAAGCATCCTCAGAGGTAGTGAGGTCTGTTGGAAGTAGGAAAATTGGGTTTATATATCTGTGGAATGGCTGGGTGGGGCAAAGAGCTCTTTTCTGCTGGAGCTAGGTGTGAATGTTTCAACTGACCACCTTCATTAGCATTTGAAGGCCTGGCTGAGCCTGGGGGAATCTTTTTGTTGAGAGGTGTTAAGATGTGCCTGGTTGTTTCCTCTCTGCTGTTTTGCTGTTGTAATTTTAGAGTTTTTTAATACTGGTAGCCAGATTTTGTTCATTTTCATGGTTTCCTCCTTTCTGTTGAAATTATCCACATGCTTGTGGATTTCAATGGCTTCTCTGTGTAGTATGACATGGTGGTTGTTGGTGTGGTCCAGCATTTCTGTGTTCTCAAATAATATGCTGTGTCCAGGCTGGTTCATCAGGTGCTCTGCTATGGCTGACTTCTCTGGTTGAAGTAGTCTGCAGTGCCTTTCATGTTCCTTGATGCGTGTCTGGGCAATGCTGCGCTTGGTGGTCCCTATGTAGACTTGTCCACAGCTGCATGGTACACGGTAGACTCCTGCAGAAGTGAGAGGATCCCTCTTGTCCTTTGTTGAACGTAGCATTTGTTGGATTTTCTTGGTGGGTCTGTAGATAGTTTGTATGTTGTGTTTCCTCATCAGCTTCCCTATGCGGTCAGTGGTTCCCTTGATGTATGGCAAGAACACTTTTCCTCTGGGTAGATCTTCGTCTTGACTCTCGTGGCTTGTTCTCGGTTGTCTTGCAGCTCTTCGGATGTCTGAGGTGGAGTCTCCATTTATTTATTTATTTTATTTGCTTTATTTCTATACCGCGTTTTTCAGCCTAATTAGGTGAGAAGGTTTACACAGTGTAAATTATCACAACAATAGCAGTTAAAACACATCATACACAATAACAAAATACACAATTATTATCAATTCATGACGCCTCGATAGCAGAGCAAAATCCATTCTCGTAATCCTTGTGCCATTCCTATGTTCAATTTTACCGTCTTCCTATGTTCAATTGCACTGATTAGCCAAACGCTTGCTCAAAGAGCCAGGTCTTAACCTTCTTCCGAAACGCCAGCAGCGAAGGGGCCTGTCTGATGTCAATGGGTAGGGCATTCCATAGCCGAGGGGCCACCACCGAGAAGGCCCTGTCTCTGAGGAGCGGCTTAGGGAACTGGGCATGTTTAGCCTGAAGAAGAGAAGGCTGAGAGGAGATATGATAGCCATGTATAAATATGTGAGGGGAAGCCACAGGGAGGAGGGAGCAAGCTTGTTTTCTGCTTCCTTGGAGACTAGGACGCGGAACAATGGCTTCAAACTACAAGAGAGGAGATTCCATCTGAACATGAGGAAGAACTTCCTGACTGTGAGAGCATTCAGCAGTGGAACTCTCTGCCCCGGAGTGTGGTGGAGGCTCCTTCTTTGGAAGCTTTTAAACAGAGGCTGGATGGCCATCTGTCAGGGGTGCTTTGAATGCAATATTCCTGCTTCTTGGCAGGGGGTTGGACTGGATGGCCCATGAGGTCTCTTCCAACTCTTTGATTCTATGATTCTAATTGCACTGATTAGCCAAACGCTTGCTCGTAGTGCCAGGTCTTAACCTTCTTCCGAAACGCCAGCAGCGAAGGGGCCTGTCTGATGTCAATGGGTAGGGCATTCCATAGCCGAGGGGCCACCACCGAGAAGGCCCTGTCTCTCGTCCCCGCCAACCGTGCCTGTGACGCAGGCGGGACCGAGAGCAGGGCCTCCCCGGAAGATCTTAATGTCCGCGTCCATTGGCCTGTAGAGCCCAGTTTAGGTGGTTCAGTTCATCTTGGAGGAGGTGGGCTTCGCAGATTCTTTTTGCAGTCTGCCAAGGCTTTAATGGTGCTTCTTTTTTGACTTGGGTGATGGTTGGAGTTTTTATGTAGATATCTATCTGTGTGTGTGGGTTTTCTGTAGACGGTGTGACCCAATTGTTGATCTGGTTTGCGGATGACTAGGACATCTAGAAAAGGCAGTCTTCCTTCATTTTCTTTTTCCATGGTGAACTGGATGTTTGGGTGGATGCTGTTAAGATGGTCCAGGAACCTGTTGAGTTCTTCTTCTCCATGGCTCCAAATGGTGAAGGTGTCATCCACATATCTGAACCATATCGTGGGCTTTTTGGTTGCTGTTTCCAGGGCTTGTTCTTCAAAGTGTTCCATGTAGAAGTTAGCTATGACCGGGCTGAGAGGGCTCCCCATAGCTACTCCATCTTTCTGTTCGTAGAATTCATTGTCCCACTGAAAGTAACTGGTGGTGAGGCAATGGTGAAACAGAGCCGTGATGTCTTCTGATAATGATGATTACATGCACCCAGAGGCTTGTTGTTATTATATTTTATATATTTTTTATTATATTATATATTCGTATGCTTATTATTATTATTATTATTATTATTATTATTATTATATTAGTATGATGATGATTAGATGCACCCAAATGCTTGTTATTATTACATTTTATATTATTATTATACTACTCTGTTTAATATTATATCATTAAAATTATGATAATGGTGATTACATCCACCCAGAGGCTTGTTGTTATTATATTTTATATTATTATATTACTATGTGTATTATTATTACATCAGTATAATTATGATAATGATGATTACATGCACCCAAAGGCTTGTTGTTATTATATTTTATATTTTTATTATATTTTATATTAGTATGCTTATTATTATTATTATTATTATTATATTAGGATGATGATGATTAGATGCACCCAAAGGCTTGTTCTCATTATATTTTATATTATTATTATTTTGTAAGTATGATTATGATGATGATGATTAGATGCACCCAATGACTTGTTATTATTATATTTTATATTATTAGTAGTATATTTTGTATTGGTATGCTTATTATTATTATATTAATATGATTATGATTATGATGATGAGTCGATGCACCCGAAAGCTTGTTATTATTATATTTTATATTTTTATTTTATATTTGTATTATTAATATTTTATATATGAGTATGATTATTACCAGATTTTATTATATACTAGCTTGGGGACCCGGCGCTGCCCGGGTTATTTGAGATAGAATGTTGGAATGTTGAGGTTGGCCAATCAGAGACCATATGCAAATTGTACCACAGTGGCAGCCAATCAGGAAGCTGCCACATACACCTCCTCCCTACGTCCTCCCTCTGGTCCTCCCTCCACATACAAACATTCTCTTTTATTATATGTATAGATATAGATATATAGATATATAGATATATACACACACACTTTATTCATATTCTGCTCTACCTCCCCAAGGGGACTTAGGGCGGATTACAGAACCCATATATAGGTAAAGGTTGTCCCCTGACATTAAGTCCAGTCATGTCTGACTCTGGGGTGTGGTGCTCATCTCCATTTCTAAGCCGAAGAGCCAGCGTTGTCCATAGACACCTCCAAGGTCATGTGGCCAGCATGACTGCATGGAGCGCCGTTACCTTCCCGCCAGAGCGGTAACGCATATATAGCAAACATTAAATGCTGTTATACAATTAACAAGGACAGAGAATACATAAACACAGGCAAAGGCTGTGCCATCTTTTTCCATCTCCGGCATCTGGAGGCTGTGCTTGAGCTCCAGCTTCTGCCAACCTAGCAGATGTGTGTAGATCAATAGGTACCGCTTCAGCGGGAAGGTAACAGCGCTCCATGCAGTCATGCACGCCACATGACTTTGGAGGTGTCTACGGACAACGCCGGCTCTTCAGCTTAGAAATGGAGATGAGCACCAACCCCCAGAGTCGGACACAACTAGACTTAATGTCAAGGGGAAACTACCTTTATTCTTATTTTATATTTATTTATTTATTTAGTGTCTGGACAACGGAAACCACTGTCCTAAATAATCCTTCATCTATCTATCTGTCAAGGGTGCTATGTTGCATTTCCCCCCATTTTCCTTTCCAAAAATTCCCTAAATTTCCCACCTCTTTGGCTCTCAGAGGTCTCTGATGGTGATCTTGGCTTCTGCGGATGGATCCTGGTGATTGTTTCCTTCCTCCTGGTCTTGGCCACGTTCCCTTTGTCCATCTGGCTCTGCATCAAGGTATAGTTGAAACATGATTATTTGGTACACAATAAGATTAGTACACAGGAAATAAGATGACTGTGCTGGCCTTTGTATTCGATTCACATATCGCACACTATATTATTATTATTATTATTATTATTATTATTATTATTATTATTATACAATATAATAATGAACGAATATAATAGCAATACTAAATAATCATATAGGAATAAAATAAAAATGTACTTGTAATAATAATAATATCATAAAGTATTACAATAATAATAATATAGCAATAATAATATAGTAATAAAATAAGAATATAGTAACAATAATATCATAAAGTAATACAATAATAATATAGTAATAATAATAAATATAGTAATATAATAATATAGCAATAAAATAATATAGTAACAATAATATCATAAAGTAATACAATAATAATAATATAGTAGTAATAATAAATATAGTAATATAATATAGTAATATAGCAATAAAATAAGAATATAGTAACAATAATATCATAAAGTAATACAATAATAATAATATAGTAATAATATAGTAATATAAAAATATAGCAATAAAATAAAAATATAGTAACAATAATATCATAAAGTGACACAATAATAATAATATAGTAGTAATAATAAATATAGTAATATAATAGAATACAGTAATATAATATCGTAATAAAATAGGAATATAGTAATAATAATATTATAAAGTAATAAAATAAGAAAATAGTAATAATAAATATAGTAATATAATATAATAATATAGTTATAAAAAAGAATATAGTAATAATATCATAAAGTAGTAAAATTAAAATAATAATTTTATATTATTCTTTATTTTACTACTTTATGATATTTCTATATTCTTTTTATAACTATATTATTATTATATTTTATTACTATATTTCTTACTATATTCTTATTTTATTACTTTATAATATAATAATAATATAATAACAATACTAAATAATAATAATAAAGGAATAAAATATTACTTTATGATATTATTATTATTACTACAACTACATAAAAATGTAGTTGTAATAATAATAATAATAATGTAACGTAATAAAATCATATTTATTTTATTTATTGTGTCATCCGCAACCAGAACATAAAATAATAATATAGTAATAAAATAGGAATATAGTAATAATAATATAAAGTAATGAAATAAGAATATAGTAATAATAAATATAATAATATAATATAATAATATAGTTATAAACTAAGAATATAGTAATATCATAAAGTAGGAAAATAAAAACAATATAGTAATAATAAATACAGTAATATAATAATAGTAATAAATTAAGACTATAGTAATAATAATAATAAATATTAATAGTAACATAATATAATATAGTAATCAAATAAGAATATAGGAATAATAATATCATAAAATAATAATAACTATAGTTGTATAGAGAGTTTATAGGGGACAGTGGTTGTTTTTTTAGTGCTTAATGTTGAATTTAATGGGGTTCAGTGGAAATAGCTGTCGCATCTAGTATATGCCAATATTTCCATTATTATTATTATTATTATTATTATTATTATTATTATTTCTTCTGTGTTCTCTAACTGTCTTATTTCTCTCATCACCATTCACATACTGTATGCGAATGGTGAAAAATCTAGGTCAATATGTTCAGGACAAAATGAAAGAACAGGCTGTGAAAATGATTTTTTGTCATTTTTTTAATGTCCCAGATTGTCAAAGAATATGAACGAGCCATCATTTTCAGACTGGGACGCATCCTGAAAGGAGGGGCAAAGGGGCCAGGTCAGTTAGCCTATCCATGTGTGTATATGTCTATCTATAGACCAGCGAGTCCCTTCAAGACATAGGGGTTCGGTGTGGCCCAATTCTATCATTGGTGGGGTTCAGAATGCTCTTTGATTGGAGGTGAACTATAAATCCCAGCAACTACAACTCCCAGATGTCAAGGTCTAATTTCCCCCAAACTCCACCAGTGTTCACATTTGGGTATATTGAGGATTCATGCCAAGTTTGGTCCAGATCCATCATTATTTGAGTCCACAGTGCTCTCTGGATGTAGGTGAACTACAACTCCCAAACTCAAGGTCAATGCCCACCAAACTCTTCCAGTATTTTCTATTGGTTATGGGAGTTTTGTGTGCCAAGTTTGGTTCAATTCCATTGTTGGTGGAGTTCAGAAAGCTCTTTGATTGTAGGCGAACTATAAATCCCAGCAACTACAACTCCCAAATGTCAAGGTCCATTTTCCCCAAACTCCACCAGTGTTTATATTTGGGCATATTGAGGATTCGTACCAAGTTTGGTCCAGATCCGTCATTATTCTCTCTGGATGTAGGTGAACTATAACTCCCAAACTCAAGTTCAATGCCCACCAAACCCTTCCAGTATTTTCTGTTGGTCATGGGAGTTCAGTTTGCCAAGTTTGGTTCAATTCCATCATTGGTGGAGTTCAGAATGCTCTTTGATTGTAGGCGAACTATAAATCCCAGCAACTACAACTCCCAGATGTCAAGATCTATTTTCCCCAAACTCCACCAGTGTTCACATCTGGGTGTATTGAGTATCCGTGCCAAGTTTGGTCCAATCCAAACTTGTGCTCGCTGGATGTAGGTGAACTACAACTCCCTCTCTGGATGTAGGTGAACTACAGCTCCCAAACTCAAGGTCAATGCCCACCAAACCCTTCCAGTATTTTCTGTTGGTTATGGGAGTTCTGTGTGCCAAGTTTGGTTCAGTTTCATTGTTGGTGGAGTTCAGAATGCTCTTTGATTGGAGGTGAACTATAAATCCCTTCTTCTCGGACAGGCCTGTTCTTCGTCCTGCCTTGCACAGACAGCTTCATCAACGTGGACATGCGGACCATTTCCTTCGATATCCCGCCTCAGGAAGTAAGTCCCCGGAATCTGGATGCCGGATATAAATAGCCCGGGATCACTTGTCTTGCTCATATTTCAGAAAGGCCGGAAAATACTTTTGATTCCAACCTTGAGCCAAAGCTGGAATCAAACTGCAACTCCCAGAACTGCCTAGCATTGAGTTGTTGCAGCGAAAGCGGTGCCAAACTGCATTAATTCCTCAGTGTAGATGCGTCCTGGTTTCTCAAGCTGTTTTGCCTTCTGAATATTGGTTGCCTTTCCGTCAATGTGCAGATCCTGACCAAGGACTCTGTGACTGTCAACGTGGATGGCGTGGTCTACTACCGGGTGCAGAACGCCACCCTGGCCGTGGCCAACATCACCAATGCCGACTCGGCCACCCGACTCCTGGCCCAGACCACACTCCGGAACGTCCTGGGCACCAAGAACCTCTCGCAGATCCTTTCTGACCGAGAAGAGATTGCGCACAGCATGCAGGTACGGAGGAGCCCCATCTCTCGTACCTTTCTCTCTTTTTCGTCCCGCCTTTTCCTTTCTTCCCTCCTTCCTCCTTCCCCTTTTTCCTTCCTTCCTTCTTCTCATACCTGTCTCTCTTTCTCTTCCCTTCTTTTTTCCCCTTCTTTTTCTTTCTTCCCTCCTTCCTTCATCTATTTTTTCCTTCCTTCCTCTCATATCTTCCTCTCTTTCTCGTCCCTTCTTTTTCTCTTTCTTTCTTCCCTCTTTCCTTCCTTTCTCTTCTTTCCTCATATCTTTCTCCCTTTCTCATCCCTTCTTTTCCTTCTTTCCTTTCTTTTCTCCTTCCTTCTTTCCTTTTTCCTTTCTCTTCCTTCCTCTCATACCTGTCTCTCTTTCTCTTCCCTTCTCTTTTTCCCTTCTTTTTCTTTCTTCCCTCCTTTCTTCCTTGCTTCCTTCCTCTCATACATTTCTCTCTTTCTTGTCCCCTTTCTTTCTTTTTTTTTTCTTTCTTCCCTCCCTCTGTCCTTCCTTCCTTCCTCCCTTTTTCCTTCCTTCCTTCTTCTCATACCCATCTCTCATTCTCTTCCCTTCTTTTTCTTTCTTCCCTCCTTCTTTCATCTATTATTTCCTTGCTTCCTTCCTCTTATACCTTTCTCTCTTTCTCGTCCCTTCTTTTTCTTTCTTTTTTTCTTCCCTCCTTCCTTCCTCCCTCCCTTTTCTTTCCTTTCTCTTCCTTCCTTCCTCATATTTTCCTCCCTTTTCATCCCTTCTTTCCTTCCTTTCTTTTCTTCTTCCTACTTTCCTTTTTACTTTCTCTCCCTCCCTCCCTTCCTTCCTTCCTTCCTCTCATACCTTCCTTCCTTTCTTGTCCCTTCTTTTCCTTCCTTTCTTTTCTCCTTCCTTCTTTCCTTTTTCCTTCCTTTCTCTTCCTTCCTTCCTCTCATACCTTCCTTTCTTGTCCTTTCTCTTTCTTTCTTACTTCCCCCCTCCCTCCCTCCCTCCCTCCCTTTTTCCATCTTTTCTCTTCCTTCCTTCCTCATATCTTCCTCCCTTTCTTGTCCATTCTTTTCCTTCCTTTCTTTTCTCCTTCCTTCTTCCTTTTTTCCTTTCTTTTCTTTCCTTCCTCTCATACCTTCCTCCCTTTCTCACCTCTTCTTTTCCTTCCTTCCTTCATTTTCTACTTCCTTCTTCCCTTTTTCCTTTCTCTTCCTTCCTTCCTCTCATAAATTCCTCCTTTTCTCATCCCTCTTTTTCTTTCTTTCTTCCCTCCTTCCTTCCTGCCACCCTTTTTCCTTCCTTTCCCTTCCTCTCATACCTTTCTCTCTTTATCTTCCTCCCTTTCTTTTCCTTTCTTTTTTCCTTCCTTTATCCCCTTTCCTTCCCTCCTCCCTCCCTCTCTTACCTTTCTCTTTCTCTTCCCTTCTTTTTCTTTATTTCTTCCCTCCTTCCTTCCTCTCTTTTTCCTTCCTCTCTTTTTCCTTCCTCTCTTTCTCGTCCCTTCTTTTTCTTTCTTCCCTCCTTCCTTCATCCCTTTTCCCTTCCTCTCTTTCTCTTCCACCCTTTCCCTTCCTTTCTTCCCCCTTTCCATCCCTTTTTTGGTGGTTTAAGTATGTAATGTGGATGGGGAAAGTATCTGGGAAAGCTGGTGTGGGATAAGCTAGATTATATGGCTTGCTGGTGATTGTTTGAGGCGGATCAAAACAATGGGAAGATAAGGAAGGAGAAGCAGGGAAGAGAGGAAACAGGAACCGAAGCCTTTTTCTCG